TACAATTTAGCTGAAGTACTGAGCGAATTAAAGGAAAATCTGGCATCTTTAAATTTTAGATGAGCTTGTGGATTTGCCATGACAATACCAGGTTAAATAGACCTCCTTCTTCCAGGTTTAGCTGGTCTAGCAATTTGACTTCACCTTAGAATTCTTACTGAATGGCTAAATGGTTAGGATGTGACACTTTGGTTTCAGGGAAGCAGTAGACATTGCCTAGAATGAAATCAAAAAGGTCTTTATTGACAAGATCAAAAGGGACATAAAGGCAAAAACTGACTTTCATTGAAACTGAACTGGAGACCAGGCCTCCAGTCTCTTTTTTGTAATTCATCGCTTGTTTCCAGGCCCCCTGATAGAATTCTTCCATAACAGATAGAGGACTTTGTTAAATTGTAAATGAGTATTACTTCAAGCACTCTGTGAAAATATATTCTCCCTGTATAGCCCATACATTATTTCTGCTTAGTTATAGTGGCTTCCATTTCCCGTAACTATCAGAGAGAACTTAATTCAACTCACACCACATCACTTTACAAGTGTGCAGCTCTCTTAATCAACCTTTGTATCAGCCACAAATGTGCAGTATGACCTAATTTGAGAATGTCTTAAAGTGCTGACTCAAACTGTTAGTGAATAAAGGCTAGTCATTACCATTATGACACTAATGTGATGCAAAATAAAATTGAGTTGCATCAGCTGAACGTTAGTTTGCAAAAATATTAGTGATTGAATCCATTTTCTGTTCATATTTTATTTATACCTATATGTGTATATATACATATGCAGATAGCAATTTATTTTTTGTTTGTTTGAAACAGCCTTGCAACAAAATTTTTGAGTACAGAGGAAGGAAGCCACCTTTTAACAGTGCAAAGCGCACTAAGATTAAAGCAGCTCATATGTGTATCATGGTTTCCCCTGTGTAAGAGGAAGATGTATTGCTGAATTCTTATTAGAATATTTATTCCCATATAAGCAATAACATACGAAAATTATCATCTTGCCCTGTACTTTGGTGCCAGATTTCAAGATTTTTAACAGCCTCGGTACAACTGACTGCTTTGTGTCACTCAAAAAATTTTCTGGCTTGGTATTTTGGAATAACAAGGATTTGGGGTTTCTTTCTTTTTGGGGGCTCTTTTCCCTATTCTCTTACTTGACAGAAAAAAATTTTTTGAGATAGAAATATTCTTGGCAAACATTGATCATTAATTACTTGTGAAGAAAAGAAAGTGGGATATCAGGCTAGAAATTTGACTTCACCCGTACTGGCACAACTTTACGGAATGCAGCATAAATGATTCTTTTTCTTCCGTAGTTCAAATGGTTTTGAGAAAAGCTCACCTGCTTATTTAATACTTAGGCATCCCACAGTTGGTATTGGTTTCAATCTCTAAGCTGAGAATTAGTAATTGAAAAATAAATCTACAGGAATCTTTCTTAAATGACAGAAATTGTCCCAGGGTCAAGCAGAAATTCTACCCTATATCCCATTTTAAGTCTTCTGAATTCTGAAAATTCTAAACGTACAAGGGATACATTAGGGATCAAGCTCCTCTGATTTTATTTAACAGTTCTAGCAAACCAAGCAAAGGAGGTATGTAGTTCTTTAAACTGTCAAGGTCAAGAAGTTTTGACTATCAAGAAATTCTTTAACCTGCTTCCTGCTGAGAGGGTATATGTCTTTGTAATATATAACTTATAGAGAATACAGCTAAATTAAAATGCTGGCAGGTTTAGTTGATTCACATCTTAGAAAAACAAGTAAAACTTTACAGCAAGATGTATAGGAATTTGCTAGTATATGATACTTTTAGTATTTCAGTCCATTTTACATTATGTAATATGTGGCTTGGACTGTTTTTATCAACTATGTTTTATTTCCATGTTAAGACAATCCAGATTTAAAAAAAAAAAAACATAAATCTGAATAATTTTGAAGCAGACTGGCCAAAACCAGCATTCGGGAGCACGGGTGCTCACGGGCGCACACACAGGCACACTTTCAATTTACCTAAAAAATCCAGATCTCTCTTTGTAGCTCAAATGCAATTGTTCTTATTTTTAGGTTAAAGGAAAAAACGGTATGTGGGTGTGATTGCTGCAAATGGATTGCCAGCCTCTTAACAGTTCATCATCCTTAAATGATCGAGGTACAGCAGCACCCTTCTGAGAAAAATCTTCCCTGTAGATTTGACTTTGTCCATGCCAGGACAAATTGTGTGCTAAGTTGGAATAATTCTGAGATGTGAGACACCTCCATGATTGTCCTTGGAGTCCGGAGGAGCCGACATCCCTCTGGAAGACAGGGGCGTATGCCCCCTGCCCTCTTAATGGATGATTTACTGTGCTTTCCCCTGGGGCCACAACCGATGATCTGTAAGCTTGTTGAATTTTGAGGCAAATACTAAATATAATCAATATATAAAAATAAAAAAGAGAGGAAAAAATGCAATGAAAATTTATGACCTTAACATTCCTTCAGGGTCAAGCAATTCATCAAATTCTCTCACTTTCTGGTTTCAATTACACAGCCATTGTGGAAGGAACTTATTTTAGCAGGTTCATTTGCCTCAGTGGGGAATACAGGACTTTGGCCTAATGCTTCACCTTTAGTGCAGGCCATTTGAGCCTTAGAACAAATACCAATCATCACTCTTTGGGAAAAAAGAATCTGCATCGGCATGGCCTATTGGAATGGGGTTTCTGTCAAGGTAAACGGTTGTCGGCAATGACTGTGGTAGAGTGGCGATAAATCCCATTTTATTGCTGAAAAATTCCAGCTTCTCTCCATGCCTGACAGCTCCCCACATTCTCATACCCATTTGGGCAATTTCTGCACTATGTCCATCTGGTTCTCATTACCTCTCAACCTGCCTGCGTCTGATCCAGAAAAAGTGCAGGTCAGAAACGGGGGAAAGAGACCAAGGTGATGGACAAAACAGAAAGCAGGGGGGTGGGCCGTGGAGGTCGGGGGAGAGGTGAGGGAGTGACAGGGAGAGTGGGGATCCCGGCCAAGGTTCTGAGTGTCTCCAGAAGGGGCCATGTAGATCATGTAGACGTATTAAAGAATGACAGCGATAGAGCTGCAGGCGGGAAGCCAGGAGTACCTGTGTCTTTCGGACCTTAGAAAGACACCTGTTTTAAGGTAGTGGAGAGAAAGAGAGAGAGAGAGAGAAGTGGGATGAGAAACAGAGAGAGAGAGACAGAGAGAGAGAGAGACAGGGGGTAAGGTTAAGGGGAAGCACCTCTCTCAGGGGCATTACCAACCTGATTATCACAGAGTCCAGGCTCTGTGCTAGCAGACGTCAGAGCTCCACGTGTACAGTAGATAGGTTTTTAAATATAGGAATCAGATGCTGCTGGAGATTCAATTTTGGATCGAAAGTATAGTTTGGGTTTGAAGAAAATCTAGGGTCTCCAACGTCACTGTTTCCATTCATTCTTCAAGAAGATGAGTAATTAAAATCTAACTTTTTTTCAATCAGTGCATTTAGAATGGATTCATTCATAGAAATATAGGACTAGCACCAGGTCAACCTGAACATTCATAACCCTACATACGATCACTTTGGGAAATGTTGGCAATTTGTGCCTTCAAAAAATTGACCTCAGTCTCTAAAGCTGAAACCCTTTTGATCCTAATTAGTTTGGACCTAATATTATCTATTGTCACTTATAGGATGCCTCTCAGGGACAAAAAAGAGAAATGCATACATTTAATATCTGATAGCAGATATTAAAAGTAAATCCTTTTAAATATCACTCTAAATAAGAGCAGGACAAGTTTGTACAACTACATAAGAGGACACTGCAAAAAGTTTGTTGACAGATGAAATTAAAAGATAAATTTATTTTGCTGCAAAAATTTCGAAAACTGTGAATAGTTTTTTCATAATCCACATTTTCCAACAACTTTTTGAAAACCTCCTTGTATGTATATGCATAAAATTCACGCTTTATTTTTCATATTCTTTTGGTGAGAGAGTCAGGCCATTAAAGTCAATACAACAATAAGATTGTAGAAAGTATATTGGCATGTAAATGATGAAGTTCTGATAAGTTTTTAATAAAAATTAGAATCAGATAAATGGTTGCACAGATGGTAGTTATTTTGCCACCTGTTCTGAAGTCAAACTTTGCATACGGATGTCTTAAACCCAGGTATGAGTGTAAGTTCTTAAATTGGAACACTGTGGCATTGTTGTGCTTTGCAGAGTTGCTTGTGTTAGATATGTTTGTCAGATAATATGACCCAGTGCTTCTGGATCATAGAGGTCCAGAGCGAATTTCAAGTCCTAAAAATTCACTTCTTTGGCAATTAGACCCCCATGTGCTGCAAAGAATATATATTTTGTATTGGTTGATCTAACATCAAAGTTAGGTTAAAATTGGGTAGTTAAACTAGGGTCTTTAGACAAGAAATACTGGCTTTCAATAGCTGAGATTTAATTTCTAAATTTTCAGGGCATACGTGCTCAAAGAAAATACTATAAATTGTACTTAAAATCTCATGTGAGACCCACATGAACATTAAAGTGGAGAGTGAAATTGTTTATAGAAATGTTAAATGAAAACAATTAGATACTTTGATCTAAATCACAAATGATCAAAAATGGAAGTTTATTAAAATGAATACGTTTAATCCACAAATACAGTTGTAAAACAGACACTTTCATGTGGGCATATTAAAAGGCATAAACCTGTAGCTCCTGTGACACCTCCATGAAAGTGGTCTGAATATACGGCATCTCTAATTTGGAAAATAATTTCAAAGTCTTAGCCACATGAATCTCACTTGAATTTCACTTTTCTGGGCTGTATGTACATGAGAGAAATGTGATCATTTAAACTCTGAAAGATGTGTGTTTCTTTGAGTAGTGTAGTAGAGAATTAATGGCATGGGGGAGGGGGAGGTGACAGCTTAGCTTGATGCTGGATAGCTGTTTGCTTATAAATGTGTGCTACAGATTTCAGTGTCCTGTAAAAGGGGGAAATAAAGAAACGGACACACTCCTGTGGGTTTTAGGGAACTTAAGACACGTGGAGGAGAAGTGCCTGGAAGGCTACTGAAATATTTACAAAACAAATCATTTACATTCAACTTTTGTGTTTGTAAAAACCTGAAGTGCCTACAAAAAAGACTGAGCCAACTTTGGCTATAAGGAATATTTCGGCATCAAAATGGTTAATAGTATTATAGCTTCAAAAGAGCCTATTGGCTCACCCTCAAGGATGCCCTGCAGTTGTTGTTAAAGTCATCAGATGAAGCTAGCCTTCTCAGCTAGCCTTTAGATTTGTCTGCTAACAGTAAAAATACTATAATAAATCGGTAACATATGTTGCCAGGCACGGAAAAGTGATATAAATAGACTAGGAGACCCAAACCAAGCACAATGTGAAAAGAATTTAACTTTCAATCTATTGGCTGCCTAATTACCATTTGAAAAGTTATTTGAAAGTGTTACTGTTATTTGCTTTTATTCTTCCTCATTTTTCTTTTTTTCTCTTCAGATTGCATTATTACCCAAATACTCTTCGTGATTGCCTGCTTTGCGGCTTTGGGGTAAGTCCCAGTTTTCCACAACCTTAAGAAAAAAAAATGCATAACATAAAAGACGTCAAAAAGACTTATGTGTCCTGATGTGCGGGTTTTGTGAAATATACATGGGCTTGTGGGGGGGGGTAGGGTAATGAAATAAAGAGAAGGAGCTTGTTTCTTCAAGGATCCAAAGTGTGCGAAAGTGTGCATATGCAAGTGAGGCTGCCTTCAGGAGAGCCACCTCTGGAATGGAAGTGACAAAGCTTAGAACACACACAATCAATTATTTTCACTAGCATTTAAAATACAGAAAACAAAATCTGCTTTGGGAATTGACTGAATATTTTATTTAGCTTTTTTATTGAGACATCCTTTGAAAAATGGCGTAATATAAATAGTTTCACAAAGCAACAATATAATCAATCTCTAAACTAGAATATAAATCAAGGATTTCATTAACTGCTGGTAGCCAGTTTAAATTGTAGTCTTGTCCATAATGTCTATCTATCTATGTATGTCCAAGTTATATTAAAAACCTTTAAATGGCTTTGTAATATCAGCTACATCTAGCTATTATAATAATTAATGGTACTGTTTTATAAATCAATACATGTATTCTTGATAAATTCATATCCAGTTAATGGTGTAATTTAAATAAAAAATTAATGTAATAAAGGACATACAGAAACGGGCAGGAAATCTTTAAAGGTTAAGAGCCAAATTTGTTTAAATTCATTTTTAACCTGTTTTGGAAAAGTTTGTATTTGAAATCAGCTGAGATTTACCTTGTTTCTGTAAAACTAACCTTGCCATTTCCAGGGGCATCTAGTGTTGAATCTGTAAAATAGTTTTTTTTTAAACAGTAAATTTTTAATTACATGTTTAAAATACTATGGAATATTTTACTATCATTATACTATTTTGTAATTAGTGACTATTCTTTGAAAAGATAGAACAAAAACAAACTGAAAACCTCACACTCGTTATTTATTTTTAACACATAACTGAAATGTAAATGCCATATATATATTTTAATATAAATGAAGCTTCTGAAAAGCTCCAAAGCTATATAAAATTTTACTTACGGAAAGAAGGGACTGATTAGCCCAGTGAATTTGCATGTGTAAGAGCCCCGTGTTTTCATTGCTTTTGCTGAGTGAGCATCCCAGAAATTTTAGATAGAAAAGAAAAAAAAATGCACGAAAGGGTCCGAATTGTATTTTAACGCTGTAAACGGGCAGAGAAACATTCTACAAAAAGAACAGTGTGTTATTGTTCTGATTTTAAAGCCACATACTAAAGGCATATTAAAGAATAACACGGTTTAGAAAAACAACTGAAGGGTGTACATTATCAAACACAGCATCAAATCTTTCCAAATAAGATCTCATTTGGTTTATAGAGTAAGCATCTTAGAAAACAGTATCTTTCCGAATCCTGCAGACCAGGCTGCCCTGCCATCTCCCCTGACACGGTGCAGAAACACTCCTTTAATCCACTGAGCTTTTTCTGACATTTTTCTTAACATTGCTGAGCCTTATTTAGAGCGGCGGAGGAGACGTGTGCACTTTCCTTTGACACTGATGGGTGTTTCCAAATGTTGAGAGAGAGAGAGAGGGAGATTGAGAGAGATTTGCTGCCAGTCACTTCATCAATAGAGCTATAGCAGCAATTACTGTTTGTTAGGAGTTTACATTTCAAATGAAGCTACATTTAAAGAAGTCTCATCATTTTACAAAGGCTGGTGCTTGCAAGAGAGAAGAGAATCCACATTAGTGATTACATATTAAAGTGCACTCGAGTACTGGAACCATTTAAAATGTGTGGTGTTTTTAGACGAAATCTGCAGCAAAACCACTCCTAAGAGGCTTAATTTAGGTTTTATAGGAGGAACATAAAAAAGACCAGGTTACAGCAACATGCTGAAATATGGGGTACATTTTAAATATCTTCATTTAAAAACGTATGTTTATTTTCTCTCCTGGGATCACTAACGTGTGTCTCGACAGAGGAAGCAAGGACATGCTACATTCTTAAAAATTATCTGTTAAAGGGATCACATTCCAAGACAGGTTTGAGCATTTTTATTACTACAGATAACCTCTTAATTATGTCACTGCCTTCCACTTGTTAATCAGGGACATTCAACACAGTTAACCATGGAGCGGCTGCCTTTAGAAGAATACATGGTTATTAAGGATTAGAAACACATTTTATCCCTTTCGTCGTATGTCTGATTTTAGCACTGCTACAGACCTATCTACTCGCTTTAAATACACAACACCTAGGAAGGGGCTAGTAATAGTGTTACTCATTACTTCAAACTGCGCAGCCCGTGAAGAGCTGCAAGGAATGGATCATGTCGTCTCTCCTGTCTCCCCCCCCACGACCCTCACGGTTCCTATCTGAACCAATTTTAGGTCTCTTCTGCAGCCACCAGCGTCTGAGACACTCAGAGCCTCTTTCAGAGTGCAAGGTGTAAGTGGAGTAAATAAAATCATGTTTCACTGTTGCTTTATCAACCCTTGTAGGTAGTTTTTCTGCCAGCCAACCTGCGCTGCTCAGACCCATAAAATTATGCAATAGTGACTTCTTTGGAGGTTCTTTAATCAGATAATGGCTGGTGCTAGGAGAGAAAGGCCCAAGGCAGTGTTGCTGGCACTTAACACTGTGGTTGGTCATTACTCGTCTGGTAGAGACCAATAAACAGCTGATGACTATCCTATAAGGAGCCAATATTTTACATTTATCCTTGTTATTTTTCCCTTTTCTTTTTGACTTCTTGTAACAGCAAGTATTTGTCAAGAAGATCTATGAGAAGGAGCCTCACAGGCACCTTAAAAATAAGAATTTTCCTGCTATGAAATGATGCCTTTTGTGGCGAGGTGAGACTGGTTCTGGTTTTTACAGAGCAAAGGTTTGATTAGCTTAACGTCCATTTCTCTCCGGCATGGACACTCCCAGACACCATCCCCCACTGCTGCTCCCCTCCAATTCCGTCCCCTCCCCCCCCCCCCCCCCCCATGACAGGTTCACAAGCTGCAACCAAAGGGTTTTAAAATGCAAATATTTATATTTGAGCTCTGGCAATAACAGGGCCATTTTCCTTCCCCTGTACGCCTGTGATAATTGATGCTTCATACCTGGAAGTACGTTTCATTTATCTCTTTACACATGGAGATAGTATATAAATAAAAGGAAATTTATGGGAAGGAACTGGCCATTTGAAATAATAATCCTAAATTTGACTGTATAATCTTTTAAAGCTGTAAGAGTCAGAAATGCAGATTTCTAAACTTTTAATGCAAACTCGATTGCAAACGGGAAATCAGTACACTTTTAAATGTGTATTGAATTTGAATGCCTGCCTGGGTCAAAAAAAAAAATACAATAAGGGTAAAAGGAAAGCAGGGGAGAAAAGGTGTGAATTTTATATGTACTATAAGCTAATGCACTCAGCCACATGTTTAGACTTCTTGTTACAATTCTATTGACTTTCTCTCTCAATATAATGTTTTCCTAACCAATGTGAACAGCACAATAGCAAGTGTTTGAGCGTGGCTGTCCTTCCCTGGGCTCCTCATCCCAGCCTGCACAGAGGTGTGCCCTCAGAACTGGACCTTGACTCCACAACCTCATACAAAGCCAGGCAATCCTTGAGCCAAACAAACAAAGGGGGTGTAAGTGATTTCATTTATTTTGATAATCCTCCTCCTGCACGGGGAGCATTTTGCTGTCTTTGTCAAAGTGAATGACAACAATTTGGCCAACTCTCTCTGAGCTGCACTCAACAGTGACAGGCAAATTATCAGAGGCCCTGCACTTCTTATTATCAGAGGAGAAGCCATCAGGGGGACGCATGGAGGATACCTCTCCCTTGTCACTATTTGTCAGTGGGACAAGGGCCACTGCTATGGGTAGCTGACAGGTAATTTCAACAATAACAATTACTCCTATTACTGGTGTCATAAACAATTCGCCCAAGGCATGACAATAGCAAAGCTTTATAATTCAATGCCATATAAATAAATGCCAGCAGGTAACAAGTAATTTAGCTCCAATCAAGCTTTCACCCCGGCATTAATATTGTTATTGCAAGAAAATGGAAAATTGAAAAAATTCAGTATGTTAATGAATTAAGAAAGGTTCAGGGGCTACACAACAGGAGTTGAAAAAGGGAAACTAAGATTACTAAGGTATCATACTTGATGCCATCCTAAGGGCCAACAGTCATATAATCAATTGAAACAAAAAGAGGAACCTGGAGCAGTGTTGCCTTAGACTCCGGACCTGGGAAAAATGGAACATGGCCTTTGAAAAAAAAATCCACCTCTCTCCAATTTCTGAGGACTCTCAGTAGAAATGTAAGAATGTATATATCATGGAGCATTTCACTGGCTTTCTTTTTCCACCTGAAATATTTCCTATGAAGCAGGGAGAGGCGTAAGTGAGTATCCAAGGAATATTTCCATCTGTTGAAGAAAGTCGCGTGAGCACCTGCTTCCTGTACAGTAAGTCTCATAATGGAACTATTTTAATATAAAGCCTATTTTTAAAATCTGGAGTGAAGGTAAAGGCAAAGGTCATTGTTGCTCTCCAGCTGTCTACGTTGCGGAAGTGGACTAGAGGATTCGGTCCCATCTTCGGAAGGCAAACTTCCTGATCAAACCAATTTGCAATTTTACTATTTGTCCAGCAAGACAATGTGCCATCATGGTGACAGCAGTAAAAGAATTTGAAAATCTCTAATTAGGAGAGCTGCAGAGCAATTAACGCATGTCAAATTTCACTTCATCAAGTGCCACTCTAATTTTCCCTCTAAAAATTAATGGATTTTTTTTCCTTTTGGTATGTGTGTGTGTCCCCTTAAGGCAATGTTGATTCAAATCTGCTCAAGATGCAGTGTTGCACAGCTAAGCATCTTCTTGATTACAATCCGCCACACTCCTAACTGCGCTCATTCTCACTGCCACCGATACTTTGTCAACAGTCAAATTACACCACGCTGATAACAATGCATAATGGTGTTCCTCCTCCGAGGCCCCTGTCAAGAGATGGGGTTCATAAAAATGTGATGTTTTTCTCTCAACTGGCTCGAAAGGAACTTTGTATGAACAGGTCCCCAGCCAGGCATTCAGTTTTAAAACTTAATTTGTTCATTTTAGGAAAAAGAACAAAATGTCAGAATCAGAGAATTCTGCCCCTCACCCCTACCCCGCAAACTCTCCCCTCCAAAAAAAAAAAAAAATCACAGGAAGAATGAAGAATTGAGAATATCTGTTGCCAAAGTTTTGCTTAAACACTTTGTTCAGAGACGTTTTCAAGAGCACTATTCTTGGTTAAATACCAGATTTTTTTCCCTCTTACTTATGGGCTATAAACATTGGAAGCGTCTCTTGAAAAGACAGTATTCAGACTGTGTGAGAAGTTTGTTTAACTGCCATATTTGCCAGAATCTTCAAAACATAACAGGGCACGGAAGACAAATGACTTTTTTTGGAGGGGGGGAGGCGGTCAGGACTGTATATTCCAGATAAATGTTGGTTCACTTTAACCATGTTTTATCTTAGTTGCTTGTTGCACATGGGAGTGTCTGAGTCATCAGCACATGTGAAGAATGTTACTCACTGAAAAATGAAAGAAAGAAAAGCAAAGATTAGAAGACGAGTTTATGTCCAGTGTGTTTAGAGATGATCCAGGTTTTAAAGATTTTTTTAAAAGGGTCCAATCCAGAGCAAACATGAAGAAATGTAGGAAAATGCTTAATGCATCTCTTGACAGATTCTTCAGGGAGCAGAGAGCATTCGCATGGATGGGCATCTCAGTTTTCCCAGCATGTAGGTTGTTTTTTGATTATTGATTACCTTTCATCATACATATTCATTAATAAAATCTAAATTCATGAAATGTAAACTTCATTTTTTAAAAAATTTACAGCTCTAATCCATCTCTTCATTTGCTGATCACTAGCTCACAAACTTAAAACTTGGTATTTTGAGGTTTGTATTTCCAAATATGAAAAGCCTTGCCTTCGCCTATGGCTCCACCCCAGCACGTTCTTAAGTGGTGTATTTCAAACAAAAGAAAATGTCATCCCCCTTCTACTCGCCAAATGTTAGATCCTCTCAAAACCGACTGGGGGCTCACTAGAAGTTTTGTAATTAGATTCACACAAATTGAATTATTTTCTTTCTTCCCAAACATCATCCTTCAAACTTTATAAATATAACCACACTGAGTTTAGAGTTCCATGTGGCTTGTTTACAAATACAGGCATTTTGATAAAACCAAGCTCTGTGTCCTTCTGAAACACAAAAACCTGGACCGATCTCCTGTGAAAACATTACGGAAGGATTGTAAAGGGAAATTTAAAGGGAGAAAACTTGATTATATAATGCAATCCAGCAGTAATCAATTTTACCTTCCATATCTTGCTTTTGTTTTCAAAATGCTAAATAAACAATACATAATGCATCCCCCATCAGCCAAACCAGGGAGGCTCTGTGCTCGAATAACAGGAAACATATTCAATTTTCCTAACAGAAGACAGTTCATTAAGCTGTGCCACATCAAATAAAACTTTAATTTCTCCAGCATCAGAGTCGCAATGAAAGCAATTGAAGAAGATGAGCCATATGGTACTTCTATCAGCAAACACATATTGCTCATTCCCCCAAAGTTTTCTAATTCTGCTCCCCAGACCTGTGTAATATAGATAATGTGCTCGGAGAGCAGCAACCATGAGCTATCTCGTGTACACTTCTAATACTGTATTTAATGGGAAATAATGAATCATAAAAGCCTCGAGAAGACGGCGTTTGCTACCCTAAATCTCAGCTGTAATTTCATTGTTCTGTGTCTAAGATGCTGTTTGCCCTTTCCCAACAACCACGCTTGAACATAATTATGCTGCCTCAAACCCGGGCTGCAGAGAGCATCCCTGACAGCTCCAAGTTCCTGTTAACTCCTGAAATTCTGAATTCCACGGTGCCCAGATCCCGACGTCGAGATCACAGACCACGTGTCGTCTTCAGCCCCAAGAAGCCCCTTCGCCTCCTCCCCGGGCCGACCTCGCCAGGCTGTTAACTCCCTCCCGCCCCTGCCTTCCTCTGCCCCCGCCTCCACCCGGTGCAACAGGAGTGGCACGATTAAAAATGAGGAGATTCTCTTGTTATTAACAAATTTGACATTTGCCTGATGAAATGCGCATACAATGTGAAAGCTACGCAGTCCTGGGAAGGAATGTCTCCCCTCCCACGCCGGCTACAGGATGAGACCATTTAGGTGAAGGAAGTGTAACGATCCTCGTCTGTCTCTGCTGTGCAGTGCTGGGCTTGTGTTATAAATGAAGGCGCCAAACAGTGTGGCGCTTTCAGACTGATAGCATGTTGACACATGTGACGTGCGCAGTGTTTCATCTCTCACCTTAGCTGCATAAACAGAGCACATATGCTCCAATGCGGTCATTTGCCTCGGAGTCCAGCCTCTCCCTGGTGACACCTTGGGGCTGGGGTTTTGTTCATTTCTAGAGAAAAATGTGGTCCACCCTCCACCCCCCAAAAACAGGTTGATGATTTCAGCTTTTCTACTTCTAAAGCTCATCAAATCAATATTTTACCAACACGATGCTAATTTAAAACACCATCAAATAACACTGCGGATACATATTGAAAACATATTTTAATGGCTTTGTTTGTTTTGGCATCATATGAACCAAGGACGATTAAATTAAAAAGAGACTTTTAAAAGTTAGAGATTGCCTTTTTAAAGCTTATTAAAATCAGCATGTTACATGCCTGTCTGTGAATTAGCTCTACACACTTGATTGCCATCATTAAAACTAGTTGTTTGGGTGCTGCTCAAAGCCGATTCTGACTAGTTATTACTTGAAATCTCTTTCCACGGAAATGAAAAAAAAAAAAAAAAAACGCAAAAAATCTTTCTAAGTGGAAGGAGAAAACAGTCACCAAAATGTGAGCTGGCACAGCGACACAGCGGCAGCAAACCCCAGGCAGACCAACAGGTAAACTCACGACAGGAACATCGGACACAGGGAAAAACAAAACCAAACCCAACCCACGCAACAGCAACAAAGACGCAGTCCATTGATTGTATTTCCTGAATGTCTTAAAACAAATGTTTGAACAGTTTCCTGAGACAGCGCAGAGAACCTCTGCCTGCTCGCTGGCTGCAGGGACAATGGTCTGTTGCAATGGAAACCACGCGGGAGGAGAAAAAGGTGCTTTTTGTTACCATTTTATCAAAGCTGTTCATCCTCGAGCTGCAGGCCGCATTTTGCTGGAATTGCAGATATTTCTCTGTCCAGGCTCCTTTGTTTGTGCATCTCATTTGCATATATTTATCTCCAGCTGAGGGTGCTTTCTGCTCATTAAGGCCTCCCTTCAGATTATTTCATAAGCCAGCTGCTAAGAGGGATTTCACCTGTGGTGACTGAGAAAAGAGGGGCGAAAAACTAAATTCTTCATAAAAAGGGAATCTTCGGAGTCTCTTCCCCTATAAATGGGCACCATTTGTGTTAAACAGCCTCTTGTCATGATAGATGCCTCCAGAGGTCAGGGGTTAAAGTTGATTTGAAGGTCAGCAGTAAAACAACAGACAAACCAGACGCCAAACTGGTTCCTTAGCTGTCGGTGGGAGCTGTGGTACAACCAGGTCTTGAACCTTTTTCAACCTCTAATAAAACAGGGGATGAATCTGAAGTGGATCAACCAGGCCCCTGAGGAAGCAGCACAGCAAAACAGAAATAATATCAATATCAGGCAGCCACAGGAAACAATGGGGCATTTCTCCGTGCTGCATGCATGCTGCTATTGTTTCCCGAGCCGGGGAATTAATTCCACTTATTTATTTAAGGCGTGTCAACTCACTGCCTAAACCTGTTTCAGTGTCAAGATGAATAAAACTTTTATGGCTCATAAAATAGAGCCATTCATCTCAATGTTCTTTGTGGTGCGTTTTTTTTTTTTTTTTCCTGGCATACTGAGCTAGGCCTCTGCTCCGAAATGGTTACATCTGAACCCACTGTTGCTATGATCCACATCATATTAGAGAAAAAAATTATTTCACTGGCAAATGGATCTCAACAGAAAAGACCCAGGGAAGCGTTTTAGCTGCGATGTAGTAGTCCCCAAAATCCTTCTAAATATGCCTCATGCCGTGGCATCTGTTTGGGGCATATATTATTTACAAAGCAGAAGTTTCACTAGTTTAGAGAAAAGTTCAAAAATGATAGCAATCCAACAATTAGTTTCCTAGACTATTATGTATTTCCTTTTACTTTAGAAATGCAGCCCTGTTAGCATAGCTTTTCCCCATCATCATTTTTTTGCCCAAGTTGTCACCGTTATGCAGTCAGCTTGCACTGATGTAATAGTCAAATGCCTTCCTTTATACTTCTGCTCTGAATTTTATGTTTGATTTCAAGAGTAAAATGGCACACATAAATGGAAAAGAAAATACGTTTATGTGAATTTTGCGTTATAAATTTTTTCAAAGTTCAGTTGTAGAATTAATTTTACTTTTGATTGCCTGACAAATGACTTTAACAGTAATACAATACTAATACACAAGTTAATGTTTATAAAGTGCTAGGCATGTGCATTTTCTCATGCAAATATTACCGATATTCAATACATGTCACACAGGTCTCTTTAGGATGGGCTGTGGCAATGCTCTTTCTTATCCACAAGATTTTTGTTAAACAAAAAGTTCCAATCAAACAATGTAATCATTGGAGTAGATCATTATAGCTTTAATGGGTAACGTCATGGGAACATGATTGATTTATGTTAAAAGGGATACAACAAGCCATTTGGTGACATTTCGCCAACTTTCCAGTCACAGCCTCGGTCACATACCCCACAGCTCTTTGCTCTATTGACACATAAATTGAGTTGTGGAGGCTTGACCAAACTCTTGTCCTGGTTGCTTTGCTTGCAAGTTCTGAGTGAATATTGTGGCCTTGTGATGCTGGATTATTTTTGGCTTAGTCAGTGGGTAGGTCAGGGTCTTTCAGTATGAACTCGAGTTTTTCCAGTGAGGAGGTTATTTGGAAACAGCTCCAACCAGAAGTTGTGTTTTCGTTTTTGCTTATGCACAAAGGTGTGGCCCTGGTAAGGAGGGACTCAGTGTTGCGGTGTCAGGCATTGCACACGCTTCAGCAGCCCTCTCCTGCCTTCCCCTGCGAACTCGTGCATGCACTCCAGAGAGGCACCACTCATTTTCCATATGGGTGGCCCATTTATGAAGCAGCCTGTTTGAAAATTCAGGTGCTTCCAAATGAACCACCATGCCCTAAGAAAAATATTTCAGCACATAATTGATTAAATTTTGGTAATCTATAGCAACACGTTCTCAGTTCAGCATGGAGCAGGAGATTTTTCTTTTATAACCAATTACAGTTTTAAAAAAATGCAACCAGGCTTGCTTCACAGAGGAACTCAACGTGTAGTAGGAGAAATTTTCCAACTTATTAAATGTTGTTTATATCCTCCTCTTTGTGGACCCTCTGCCTTCCCAAAGCATTTTATAGCTCCCTCTGTAACTGACTTATCAATTTTCCTTCTGACCTTCGGCATTAAGTTTAACCCTACCCCCAACCCAAACCCAGGACCCCAAGCAACTAGACTGCAGCAACAGAATACAGTTTATTCTCTGCATGTCTGCACCACATCTCTCGTTTTTCTTTTCCTCTAATCTAATCACCAATTCTTAGGCTTGGCCAAATAGTTAAAAATGTTAAGTGCTAGCAAAGCCTTCTACCTCCCCCTCATATCTGTCTCTGTTTATGGAATGGGTCCCAGTTTCCTCCTTTTCTCCTTCAGCCTGGGGTCTTCAGGTCAGAACACTGTAAATACACACAGCCCTGTCTGGACCCATAAATCTGAGCAAAGGGCAGGCTTATATATTCAGATAAGCGCGGCCGTGGATGGGGCATGGCGGAGGGAGCCCCAGCACACTCAGGCCTTGCAGCTCTGTTCAGAGAAAAACCAGTGAGAAAGGCCAAGAACGCTTAGTAGGGAAGGAAAAAAGGGATTTTGTCTGGAAACCTCTCCCCTTATTTCTAATGGATGAGGTTGGCACTGCTTCCTCTCCGTTTATTTTATTTTTTCCACAGTGCTTATATTCACATCCTTACCAAACATATTATCTTAGAGGCAATCAAATTAAACAATAAATTTCATTTATTTCCAATGTCCTTTATTCTTCCTAAGCATATTTGTTTGTGTTTTGACCTTTCGGAGAGTGTGTGTGATGTGAATTGGAGTCATTTTACCAGCAATTCTCCTTTACTGTAATTTTTCAGTCACAAGGTCTTTGACTACATAACCATGTTGCTCGTCACCACATTGAATCTCAAAAAAAGTAACATCTGACGGAGCTGGGAATGGGAAAGTGAGAGACAGGTGGTGACGTAGCCTGCAGTCTTCAAGGCTTCTACCTTATTCCTGGGGCTAGGTATTTCTGTTGGACCTTTAGGTCTCAGGGTTTTCTGTGACTCTCAGAAGACCGTCCTTCTTGGGACACGTGCCCCTTGGGAACAGGACTGTCACAGGGGACATTCCTGAGCAGGCCGTCATGGCTGAGGACGTGCTTTCTGTCACGCCTCTAACCTGACTCTTCTTGAGACGCAACATGTCGCATCCCAGATTTGCCCTGGCCATTTCGGGCTCCAGGAAAATGTGGCACTCAATTTCTTGCCAGTCAATGTTTTATCATATATATATATGTGTATGTATACATATATATGTGTATATATATATAGATACACACATATGTAAGATATACATATACATGTAATACATACATGCATATATGTAATATATTCATAAATATATGTAAAATATAGAAACAAATTTTATCTGATTTCTCCATGTATGTATAGATATATATGTGTATATATAGATACATATGCATATATAGATATATACACACATACATATATATGTAATATATATACAAACAAATTTTGTCTGATTTCTCCATGCTGTACTTTAGGCTAAAAAGCTAAAGCCTAATTCATGTTTGTCTATGCGAGCTTCTTTTCTTACATTGAAAACTCCACGTAGTTAAGAGAAGTTCATGGGAAAAACTGCCAAAAGAGTAACTGGGGGGTGGAGGGCCAGCGCTGTGGTGCAGAAGGTTAATTCTCCAGCTGCGGTGCTGGCATCCCATATGGGCGCCAGTTCTGTCCTGGCTGCTCCTCTTCCAATCTAGCTCTCTACTATGGCCTGGGAAAGCAGTGGAAGATGGCCCAAGTGCTTCAGCTGCTGCACCAGCGTGGGAGACCTGGAAGAAGCTCCTGGCTCCTGGCCTCAGATCGGCACAGCTCCGGCTATTGCAGCCAATTGGCAGTGAACCAGCGGGATGGAAGACCTTTCTCTCTGTCTCTCCCTCTCAGTGTCTGTAACTCTACCTGTCAAATAAATAAAATATTTTCTTAAAAAAAGAGTAATTGGGAGCCCAGAGTATTGCCTACACTAGAACCTCATCTTTGGCAAATCCCTTAAATGATAATAAAAATGATAATAATAATCATTTATTGAGCACTTACTTTTGGAAAGTAATGTACTAGGTGTTTAGATATATATATTAATGTTCATGTTTATAACAGTTGGTAAATGAAGTATTACAGTCTCCCTTTTGCAAATGTCAAACTCTGATTTGACCCGGGCACGTACATTTGAACCAAAAAATTGAGTGTAGATCCAGCTCCAGAGCTTTCTCCTCCGAGCTGCCTTCCTTGGCCTCCCGTTCTGCGTCTTCAGGACGATGGTCATGGGTGGGATGATATCTGTTTTGCAGGGCTTCTCTATGTCCAGGTGGGTTTTCTCCAGTCCATGCCTTTCCTCATCCCTGGCTTAGCATTTTCAACACCACCTTGGCACCTTGGCCTGGCTCTTGAAGACTTCCTGGACAACACGTCTGAAACTGACCTCACTGATTTCCTCCCTGACCTGATTCTACTTGGTGACCTGGTGGTGGTTAATGGGAGCACCCTCCACTCCACAGTCCAAGCTGAGCGTTCTCGGACTGCGTCTGCTCTCTCTGGTCTTATCTATCATGCTCATCGTTCAGGCCAGCAGGGTGGTCACCTATGTGGTAGGTTGGACAACCTGAGTTTGGATCCTGGCTCCTCTGTTTGCCAAACTGTGCAGGATTAGAAAGTTACTCTACTCCTCTGTGTGTTGGTTTCTCATCTGTAAAATGGAATCTGAAATTCTACTTATAAGGTAGTTGGCTCAGACTCTTGGGAATGCCTGACCAAACTATTAAAGTAGCCTCAGTCCGGTGTTTCTATAGTTAGTTTCTTCCTTCTATAATCCAGCCTCCTGGATTAAAGAATCAAATATATATCATAAACAGGATACATTAATGCTTCAAAATCTTTTAGACTCCCTATCATCCTCAAGTTAACTATTGAGTCAAGCAAAGACCTTCATAATCTCCCCATGACTGGCTTTTCATCGGTCACTTTTTGCCACATCCCTTAGGCAATTTGCACCCTTTAGCAGCAAAAAAATTGTACATGTGCTATTCTTTCATGCCTCGAGACGTTTGTGCTGTGCCCTTGACCACGAATGTGCTTCCTTTCCATTTCTGTCTAGTGAGAGTGCACTGACCTTGTATGGCTTGGTTCAAATGTCATCTATTTTCTAGGGCAGCATAAATTAAATTAATCACTTCTAGAATGTACTCCTTTGTCTTAGAACCTAACATGTTGCATGGTAATCATAGGCATTGTAATTATTTGTCTATCACTAGGCTGTGGGTTCCTGGGAGCAGGGACTGTGTCTTTTTCCACTTAATATCTTTTGTTTTAGGACCTCACATATAGTGGGAGTCCCTCAAATTTAAATTAATGTATAAAATACCACTCTTCACTCCTTACAGAAAGATTTAAAGCAAAAGTAAATGTGGAATACCTGATGCTGTTAACTAGTTGAATTAACCAGTTGAATTAATTAGCTTAAAAGAATAGGCAGTGAACTTGCAACAAAATAAAAAAGTTCAAGTCCAGTTGTGTCGTTCTAGCCATCTACAAGATGAAGCCAAGGTATTTTCTTCTAGGACACCTGGTACGTTTTGCTCTCACTACTAGGCAGAGTGAGTATGGAAGTCTTTCAGAGCATTGTATTGGATGTAGAGCACCCTGCATTTAATACAGTATTTCACTAAAAAAGGAGCCTGTGTTTTCCTTCTGTGCCCTTATTCTAACTTTTCATGAGAAACAGCCTAAGTGATCCTAAGTTCCGGAAGTGGAATGTGTGGGTGTGAATGCTGTGCTGTCATTTAGAAGCTGTGTAACTGCTGGAAACAGTTTTCTCAAGACCTGCCGTCTCATCTGTGAGATGGGCGCCA